AAGACTGATGATTCTAGTTCTCCAGGGCTTTCTTAGAAAAAGAACAAAATCTTTATTCCAACAATTTACATGAATCTTTAGCAGATTCCTCTTTTAACGAACAATGTCCTGTTCAGAATCATGTAGCCCTGGAAAGCCATTGCTCAGCCTTGCTTAGACTAAACCTTCACCCGAGGCAGGGTGACCGTGGCTTTGTCCCTCCCACACAATGTGGTCTGCCCAGAGCACACCAATGAATAGTGAGCAGATGAGACAACCAGCAGTGTGTGTCCCTGAGACAGACTAGGTTATAGTAAAGATGCTTTCAAATTCTATGGTATTCCATGGAGAGGTGGAGTCTCCTCTCCTTCAGTCTGGGCTGGCCTTCATGACTGAAGAATGCATTGAAGAGCCATTCTGGGACTTCCCAGGCTAGGTCATTGTAAGCCTTGCAGCTCCCCGTGAGATTGGAGGGTTTGCTCTTGGAACACTTAGCTGCCATGTCAGAAGTCCAACCATGTGGAAAGACCCGAGACAACCTGGAGAGTCAGAAGGGTGCAGCTGAGCCCCGCCTTCTAGCTGTGCCTATGAAGGTGCCAGACACATCAGTGAAGCCCTTTGGGACCTTCGAACCTGCTCATCTACTAGCTGAATCACACCAAAGGACCTTGGTTGATACCACATGGAGCAGAAGAATCACCCCACTGATCTCTGAGCAAATTTCTGACCCATGAAATCATGAGCAATGAACAGTATAGTGGTAGTTTTAAGCCACCAAGTGTTGGGTGCTTTGTTACATATCAATAGCGAACAAAAACACAAACACTGCTAGGTCTTGTGCCTCAGGCTGAGAGGCCAAACCAACCACCAATGAAAACTTTTGGCAAGGGCTCAACACTGGGGGTGAGAAGACAAAACCCCCTGAGGGGCACAGATGATACCAAGGGAAGTGTCTTTCTCTAGTCCAGGGGTAGGGAACCTTTTTTCTGCCAAGGGCCATTTGAATATTTATAACATCATTTGCTTAATATAATTCACTTAATATAAATTTGTTGCTATGAAAAAAGCTCCTAGATTTATTGAATTTCGAGTCCTGCCTGCGGTTGTGTTGGCAGGGCCAGACCAAATGACTTCTTGGGCCTTATACAGCTCTCGGGCCAGATGTTCCTCACCCCCGCTCTAGCCCATTTGTCCTAGACGATGTTTTCAAATGAAGTTGGAAACTTCCCTCTGAAGAACAGTGACCGTACGCCCCAGGGTGCCAACGCACTACTCAGCTGGGTGGACGCCAAGAACACCAGTGAATGGTCCCTTACGCCACAGGGGAGCGCTGCAGTGCTTATGCCGTCAACGTGGTGATGCAACCAGCAGCCTCTACATTGTTAAAGGAGTGACAGTTTGGCACAAGGACATGTGAATTCAAATGATCAGATGCAAACTAAAAGAGAGGTGGCGATTTCTGAGAGCTGTGGGTTAATTTTTTGGCGGTTCTTGAAACGGAAACTGATTGTGAACTTGGGGGATAAATACCAGAGCAATCTGTTTCCTTGGCTGCGTGCTGTGGAGCAATTTTAAAGCACTGAAGTGCTTTCCATATTTTCTAATCACTCAAGTCCAGAACTGATTATGGCGCTCAGCATCCTCTCGGATTCGCACCATCGGAGCACTCCACGTCCTTCAGGGAGTGATTTCACCTTGAAAGTGGATGCCTGCATCCAAAGGCACATATGGATACAGCAGGAGCAAAATTTAACTGCAGCGCACCCCACAACGGCCAGGTGTTTCAGAAATCACTGATGGCCCAGCTCCGAGACAACCCGAATTTACTCTCTCCTTTCTCACTGGAACAAAACAACCTCCCTCAGAAAACAAAACAAAAAAAGGCTCTACCAGAAACTGAACGACCCCAAACAACAACAACAACAAAAGAGAAATTTAGATTGTTGAGACCTGTGGGCAAGGGCGTGCGTACACACACACACACAGATGCATAGGACATCTCTGGAAGGAATTCCAAGAAATTGGTAGCTGTGGTTTCTTCTGGGGAGAATTGAAGGGCTGAAGAAAACTGGGAGGTTAATGGATGAGAAAGACTTATTATTTTTTTTTTTTTACCACAGCCTTTTGAATATTTTGAATTTTAAAAAAAATCATATGCTGTATTACTTTTCAAAATAATGAAACAGAACAATTCTAAACCTGTGTGTGGTACTTATGTCCTGCTAGGCACTGTGTTCAATGCTTTATGTATATTCACTCATTTAATACTTATAATAATCTTGTAATTAGACATGACTCTATTATACTGATTATACAGATGAGGGAACTGAAGTAGAGAGGAGTTAAGTAACTTGTTCAAGGTCACACAGCTAGTAAATGCAGAGGTGGGATCTGGACCCAGAGACTCTAGCTCTGGAGTCTGTCCTCTTAATTACTATATAATACTGGCTTGGCAAAAATAAATATACTCAGTTGCCTGCTCATAAGGGAGTTGAAGCAGATAAAATAGTTCTTTACTTTTCTCATGTGGCCCTCTACAAAGATGGGTGAAGAAGATAGTGGCTCAAAATAACCAAGATACAATCTTAAACCTGTGGGGGTTTAGAGGGCTTTGAAATTGTGTGACTAGAGGTTAAAAGCATGAATTTTCCAAGTTGCTTAATCCTTCTGAGCCTCAGCAGCTATTCTATGCCAGGCGCTCTGCTAAATCTTGGAGACAAGTAGTGAATAGAATAGAGTTTCTGCTCTTGAGAAACTTACTGTATCCTGGGGGTGACAGGCAGTAAACCAATAATCACACAATCATAGTGTGAGCAATAAAGAGAAATTAAAGGGTAGATGGAGAGATGAGGACTGGGTCCATTTATACTAGGTGGTCAGGAAGTGTCATTTAGGCAGAGTGCTGTAGGATGGGCAGGGGTAAAGCAGGAAAACAGAGGAAGTCGGGGGAAGAAAAGCATTCTGGGTGCAAAGGCCCTGTGGTTGGAAAGAAGTACCTGTTTCCGGACAGAAAAGTCTCTGTGGCTAAAGCCAGGTGAGTCAAATTGAGTTTGGAGAAAGAGGCAGATCATGTGGACCATGGTTAAGTATGTCACAATTTTCCTAAGAGCCATGGGAAGCCACTACAGGTTATAAGTAGGATTGACATAATTGCATTCACTTCTTTGTTGTTGTTGTTGTTAATCCTCATCCGAGGATATTTTCCCATTGATTTTTTCAGAGAGAGTGGAAGGGAGAGGGAGAGACAGAGAGAGAAAGACATATCAATTGGTTGCCTACCGCACTCCATGCCACGACCAGGCCTGCAACTGAGGTTTGTGCCCTTGACCAGGATGGAACCCTTTTTAAGATTACTTGGGCCGCCATGTGGAAAATATACAAAGAAGGAGGCAATGGAGAAAGAGGAAGACCAGCTAGGAAGCTACTGTAAGAATTCAGGAAAGCAATGGAGATGGCTTGGAATAAAGTGCTGGCAGAGAGAACAGTAGATAAATTTGAGATGTTTTAATGGTATGATATTTTATAAAATTAGTGTAATAATGTTAGCTATGAACTGTTACTATAAAGCATAATGTAGGAGTGAAAATGCTTTGTCAACTATGAAGTGCTGAACAGAGGTCACTGACTATTACTACAGATGAAGAAACCAAGTACATGCTAGTAGGACTCTAACCTGCCCAAAGCCACACAAGGGCTTAGTGGCTGGGAGGACGTTGACCTGTGATCCCTTCACTCCCTTCTCTGGGGTGTGCCCGGAAGAAGGAGAAGAGGGATAGTGACCGGGTCTAACTTCCTTGTCACGTGGGCCTCAGGGTAAATAGAGTAGTAATATTTAGGAGGTGTCTGGCTAGTATCTAGAACTCAGGGTCTCTGAAGCAGGGCTCCTTGGAGAACATCACGTCAGCTCTACAACTCTCTGGGGTACAAAATGGGAAATTTTTCATCATTGAAAAACTCCACAGGGAGTGGTGGCCCCTTGATCCTCCCCTATAATTCTGGGGGAGTGGTGTGTGGCAGTGAGGGGAGCTAGGACCTGGGGAGCCGCTCCTGACATCCCAGAGTTTTCTTTACTTCATCTGAATCTCCGATTGCCTGTACCCTGGATATTACTGAGCAAAGCTTCATATTGGGTCTGAGCTCTGACTTGTGTGACATTATCTGACAATCTCATCCCACGTTTATTCAGTGGCAGAGACCGTTTCCCCAGGTTAGTAGTCCCTGTGTAGTATCAGGCCCAATTATAAGGTCCATGGGCAAAGAGAGAACAGACTTGGTTATATGTGACCCCTCACTAGTGGCCTAACTCTGATATTTATTTGACACATCAGATATCCACCTACCTGAAAAATTAATTTTTTAGGATAGTTATGCAATTTAAGAAACTTGATGCATCTGCCTTCATTGTGAATGAGCAAAACTGAAAGAACTCAATCCTGGAGTCTCTGGGATGGTTCATATGATTTCCTGATGAGGTGAATCAGGCCTTTTGGGGCTCCAGTGACTAATCCTAAGCACTTTAGAGAGGACCCCCACCCTCCACTTGCCAAGGAACCAGTACAATATCGATGTGCAGCAGTGAACACGGTTTCCCCAAACTACTCTTGGCCCTCCTAAGTTACGAGTTCTCTTCTCTTCTTTTTAAAAGCTGCACAATTTATCTTAGCATACAACTTCATTATGGAACTTAGGAAGGATGAGAAAGGGAACTGTCACTCTAGCAGGAAGGGAGAAAAACCTCTTTGTCTTCTCTGTCTCATAACAAAGTGTATTTATGCTGGAGGAATCAAAAGACAGAATCAAAAGGCACATGGATGTCCAATTCTACTCCTGGTACACACATCTCCGATTATGAACGGAGCTGTTGCAGATAAAGCACACCAGAGGAACAGGGCTTCCTCTGGAAGATGCTAAGCATGAGGACATTGGCAGGCTTGTGTGACGGAAGCGTCAACATGTTTTTTGAAGAGAAGTACATCCTCTTTCCCCCCAAACAAGCTTCCAAACTAAAGCCTGGTGTTTACCTTCAGCGAGTGGGTCGAGGGTGTGTATCATGAGCTGGAAGATGCTATTCCTCATGAGGCTGTTGTGGAGGGAGGCAGAGCTTCCACCTCGCTGGAGACGTGGCTTGGCCTGAACAGAGAAACCAGACAAAGATGCTGTTAGTTCTCAGAAACCAAAGGCAAGTGCATTACAGGTAAGATCCTCCCCTTGTCTGGTGGTCACTTGTTTCTGTTCACATGATCACACACTGTTGACCAAAGATTCCCAAGGTACATTTCAAATCCCCCAAAGGAATGGCTTTCTCACAGCCTTTCCTATTAAATAAATTTATTTGCTACCATTTTTAGAGCTTAGTAAATGCTAGTCAATGTGCTATATGCTTCATTCACAAAATGAACTAAATGAACTAGGCACTGTTTTTATTCCCTTTAAAATATTTTTTAATTGATTTCAGAGCGCACGAGCAAGAGAGAGAGAGAGAGAGAGAGAGAGAGAGAGAGAGAGAGAGAGAGATCAATGATGAAAGAGAATCATTGATCAGCTGCTTTCTGCACGCCCCCTACTGGAGATCGAGCCTGCAAGCCAGGCAAGTGTCTTGACCAGGAATCGAATGGTGACCTCCTGGTTCATAGGTTGACGTTCAACCACTGAGCCACACCAGTCGGGTTATTATTTCCTTTAGACAGATGAGGAAACTGTCATAGAGAAGTGAAATGAGGCGTCCAATTCACACAGACAAGAAACGGAGGGTAGAGGAATGAATCTCAAGTTTGCTTCTCTCAGAATTTGTTACCTGAACCAGTGGGTGGTCTCTACAATGTTTGGATTGTGCACCCTATCAGTAAAATGTTTGAGTATGTATGTGTATGTATATGTATCCATCTGTATCTGTATCTATCTATATCCATACCTATACTAAAAAATGAGTATATATATTATAAAACACTTGAAAAAGTGGATATTATGAAGAATAATATAGAAAATAAATGATAGAGGTGTTAATATTTCCCCCTTTTCCCCAAAAGGACATCTCCCACATCTCCCAGGGTTCCTCTTCTCTGCCCTGGAGCACAGCTCTAGTCCATGAAGCCCTATGGTCTGTGTTAAGTGAGATTTAAAGAGAGAGAACCACTTACTATAAATCTACAGAGAAACTTCCTAACTTCAAAGGGAGGATTTCTTTTGTATAAACTCCTGCTAGAGTGAACCTTTGGGCAAATAAATGAAACTGGCATGTTAAGAGAGGAACAATGAACCTCTAGAGGTGAGATTACCAACAAGCTCTTTGTTAAAATCTTCAAAAACAAACAATCTAAAATAAAATATCCAAACAGTGGATTGAAACCAACTTTTATCCTGATTAGGAACTGTGCTCTCCTTTTTGGATTGATTTTGTGTTGGTTAACACAAGGGACGACGCTCCAGAGACCAAGCTTCATAGACAGATTTAAGAGAGGGCAGCACAATGTGCGGAAATGAATTTCTTATTGAACTTTTGATCCAAATTCTTGACATGAGATTTTTCTGGGGTCTGGTTAAAATAAATTACGGTTTCCCACTGCCTTCCAATCCTCTACAATGCAGGGTTTTCCAAAATGTTCCTTTGAACTCCGGGTGCGTCCCAAGAAAAGTCCCATAAGAGACTCCACGGTCAAATATTTTGGAAAGTGCTACACCCCAGACTAAAGCACCTTTTGAGTTTTAAGATACACATTAGACCACTAAGCTTAAAAAAATCAGGTTAACTTGGTAAACGTGGACAGTTTCTGAACTATTGCCCATGGAGCCTTACTCTGAAGAATACTTATTAACAATCATAATCTGTATGTTTGGAGACAAACATTAAACCTATAGTAAGCTTGAAGTATGGGTAAAATGTCAGTATGAAGTTCAACCACTGAAATTCAGAAACGTCTGAATTTCTTAGTCTGATTTTATTTTAACTGATATTCTACTAGAAATTATGTTCCCAAAAATACAGGGTTTGGAGAAGAATCAGAGGGGATTACTGGTGTCTCAGTGATGAGCCAGATCATGGGCTCCTCAAGGGAAGAGTCTGGGTCCCACCGCTAGCCCAATGGATCTGGCATATCCTATGGGCTCTCAGTGAGTGTCATAAATCTTGGCTTTGAGCACTAGAGGAGGAAGAATGGGGCCGTATGAATCTTCATTCCTATGCCCTTCTGCCTTAAAAATTTGTAACATTTTTTAATGCATTGTGTTATTTGATTTAAATGGTTAAGGTTCAAAATATTTTAGAGGCAAGGTGAAGAGATTTGAATAGACTTGAAATGTAATCACTGTTTAATGGCTGAAGACAAAAACTCTAAAGGTCATTTCCTTGTCATGCTTCACACATAAGATGTGATGTGTTAATTGGACAGGAACTGAAACATGTGCTTGTTGTTAATAATCGGTCATGACCACTATGACTATGGTTCTTATTCTGAGAAACTGGCAGAACTCTGCTGCGAAGATCTTCATTAGCAAAGGATTATAGCTATAAGAGAACTGAAAGCATTCTTTTGGGCATTATGCACATACCGGATATGTAGATCTCATGCAGTTTTTCTTTTTATGGAACCCAAAGAAATTTCCAGCCAAAAATTATGTGCATGCAGATACATAAAGAAAACAGACATCAAGCATTAGATGCCTCCCCACAATGTCCCCGAATATCAGCTCAACATCCCTTGGAATGTAATGTGGGACAATCTCACTCTTTCAGCTCCTATAAAAGTTCATGCCAAATGAAAGAGAGAACTGAGACTTTCTGAAACAGCCCCAGAGATAACGTGTCAATGAATGTCAGAATTCGGTTGACACTAATTGTAGGCAGAGCACACACACACAGCAGCAGATCAAACCATGTAGTATTCCAAGGGAGAGGGTGATCTGTTGAGCACATGAGCCCCTTGTTCATACCCCCCTCCCCCTCCACAGGCACATACAGACAGGGCCACTGCTTCCTACCGGCAGAGTCGGTTCATCCTTGTCCCTGACTGTAGATGACTGTGTAAGAGAAAGAGACAAAAACAGAGACAAATAAACAAACGATGAAGCACATACATACAGGTTTCACATTTAGTAACAACCATCAGTATAGGGAAATATTGGTGAGGTTTTTTATTCTGCTCCTTGGGAAGGATTATGCCAACACAAGGGGCAAAGAGTGTATATTTCTAGCCAATATAATGGTTTGTTTAGGCATATGGTGCATGCTCCTGAGATCAAAGTTGAATGGGCAACCTAACTGCCCAGCAATAGAAGGCAGTTAAATCAATTAGGGCCCAGCCGCAATTTGGAATACCATGTGGTCATTAAAACAAATGGAGTGAGTATACATGTACTGACATGAAAAAAAAATCTAAGCTATATTAAGTAAAAAAAAGCAAAACTTACGTCTATCTCATTTTGAAAACAAATAATGATACTTTAGTATATGTAAAGAAAAAAAACTCTGCAAGGATTATTCCTAAGTGTTACTGCCGGGAATAAGATTACAAGGAAGTGTCATTTTCCATGTCTCTTGGAGGGAGCCAACATTCACTGCCCCGCGTGTGGTCAACAAGAATAAATAGAGCCTGAACAAGTAAGGTCATTGAATTAGACTAGGCCAGTGGTCGGCAAACTGCGGCTCGCGAGCCACATGCGGCTCTCTGGCCCCTTGAGTGTGGCTCTTCCTAAGCCTTAGGAGTACCCTAATTAAGTTAATAACAATGTACCTACCTATATAGTTTAAGTTTAAAAAATTTGGCTCTCAAAAGAAATTTCAATCGTTGTACTGTTGATATTTGGCTCTGTTGACTAATGAGCTTGCCGACCACTGGACTAGGCTCATCACACATGGAATTCAGATAATCCATCTTCTCTCCTACCCACACTCCTTCAAGTTGTTCATGCTAAACGTGGAAATATCTGTCAGGTTGAGGAAAGGTGACTAAAACACAGTAGAATGTGAGGACCTATGCATTTGTTGGGAGAGAACACAACTCAGATAAGGTGACAATGGAGTTCTTCCAACATGCCTCAATTTCATGCTCAGACCACTACTGTGGTCGCTCCACCTCAACTGTGAATGCACACAGCAAGAAAAACCTCAAGCCTTTCCCCCTGTCTTGCCTGCCGGTCCTCCACACCCCAGTCTTTGCTGATCTGCATCTGCAAGAATAATCACACACCTGGAGGCCAGCAGACAGGTGCAGAGCTGTTCTAAAACCTGCCGCGGCCCTAGGCTCTCTTTTTTAGTCCTACCACACACGCCATACAAAGAACATTAAGTGGCCCCCACATTCCATCTAAAATATACATTTTTGTGCAAAAAAAATGAAAGGGATTTTTATACTTTTGCATTTCAAATTACTGGCTACGTGCAATTCTTTGAATTTATGATTGGCATGCTCAAAGCCTTGAAAAGTAAGAAAGATCAATTCACAATTTGTTTTCCCATGTCATTTTTAAGAAGACTACATTTAACACTTAAGTTGATAATGAACATTTTGTAGACATTCAATTAAACGTTTAATTATCTTGTAGATACTTTTTTGGAGTTGAGAGTCAATATCAATGTATATATATTTTTTCTAGTTCCAAACATTTTTGTAGACCCTTGAAGAATTAGTAACTCCCAGGCACCTACAGAAGTATTCTGACTTGGTGGTAACTTCTGAGCACAGCCCATGAACATTACTAAATTGGCCATTGCCTCCTGGTTTGGGGCTTTCTCTTAGTGACTTTTCTAAAAGCACTAACATAAAAAAATCCCGATTCTCTAGTTCCCAGGCACATGCTTGGGGAACTGGAGTGGACCTGAAATTGCCCTTTGATTTCCCTCTTTGCTCTCAAAGGCACTGCATGATCCTGTTTCTGTCTGGCAGGCCCTTTCATTTTCTCTTCTTCCACATCAGACAGCTCAACAAATGGCCCCACATTACACAGAACAATCCCCCAGGGAAATTATCCAGTGCAGCCAGCTCAGCCTTTGGACGCATGTCGAGGTGAACTGTTAGAGCACGCCTTTTCAGTTAGCAAATTTACACCTTGTGGCTAAATGGGAGGCAAATAATTATGAGCTGGAAGTGATGCCACAGAATATGAAGAAACAGAATGAAAAGGGTGGTGGGCTTTAT